TGTATTTTTCATTCAACAAATCAGATTCTTAGTTTACCACCACCTTAAAAACAATTATCTCCTCCCACAGCTGCTTGTTCACTATAAAGAGTTACATAATCCTATTACATTAGAAACATTATAGAGAGGTCCCATTTTCTATACATGTTTATTTTTGGCAAACAGTAAAGGGATTTGCACTGAGTATATGTTAAAATGGACAGTGGTTCCCACAACACTAAAAAAACACATATAGCGTTTCTTTAAGAAAGTATTCTGATGGCTATAATATCTTAACAATGATCAACAATGTTTATATTTCTAATAAAATCTATAAGCAACTAATTGTCTCAAAGAACTGTTTCAACTATCTCATCTGAAGATAAATTCAAATCTAATCAATGTTTTCCTTAAATACTATCAGCAAAAGTATTGGATATTTTCCATATCTATTTTATTCACAATTATAGCTTTAGCAGTTATAATACTCCTTTACTATAAAACTTTTTTATATATTAAATCATTGTCATGTATCAAAAGTGTGACAAATGTTTAATCTATATTTTAAATAATCAATATTAATATGAGGGTACTCTTTTAATCCTCATATTACAGAGAAGGACATTGTGGCTTAGAAAATATAATAATGTCATTTTGCAATCCATAATACTTGGTAGGAAGTCAGTCTGGAACTTCAGTCTAGTTACTGTCTACCTCAAAATTCTGTTTTTTTAATCACTGAACCATACTAAATCCTCTAAAGCCAGGATTATACTTCTTTCCTTTATTAAAATTATTATCAGCTGCTCACTTTCCACTGAATCTCACAAATAGAAACATAGGAATAGTACTCCATAGCTCCTTCCCTGTTTCTTACATAAAAACAAAGCACGCGGTTTGCAGATTTTGTCTCCTAAGTAATCAGTCAAATATATCTTTTTTCCCCCTGTTCATTCTGTCATTTATTTATCCCAGCCTTTATTATCTATTGCCTGCACTGTTACAATACCCTCTCAGTTGACCTCCCTGTCTTATATCTCATTTTCCATTTTCCGTCTCTATGTACACACACTTATCCCCATACACTACTGGCAGTGTACTCCTAAATTGCATGTCTGATCACATCAACCATTTGCATAAATAATTTTAAGGACATTCATCACCTTCATCTCAGTAGCACTGTCCATGCTACTGAGCACAGCAACAGAACCTATACACCTGGTTGTTGCTCATCGCTTTGGCTTCCTGCCTCCTCTCCCAAATTTATTTGAGAAATATTTACCAAGTAGAATTGACCAGGGCTGGTGATCAAATGGATATGAGATCTGATAAGTAGAAAAGGAAAAGAAAACATACACAATAGAGTAATAGAGTAAATGTTGAGCATTTGAGGGATAACAACACGGAGGTAAACATTGGAGTGGAGTTCATATCTTTTTCGCCAGCTTCCTACTTAACTGAACATATTCTTTTGTCAAAAACAACACAAACTCACTACAACCAAAATCAAACACATTATCTCTGTGTCTGATTTCTGATCTTGGAGTGCACTACGTCTCAGATTGGCAGTATCATCTATCTATCTCCAAAACCACTCTTTCTTTCTATCCCTTCTTTAACTATATCCTATCACAGCATCCTGTCAAGTTTATCTTCTAAATAGCTCTCAAATCATTCTCTTCTTTTCATCTGAATTTGTAATGCATCTGCTGGCATCTGCTTTATCCTTTCTGTAATTTATTCCCTATAGTAAAGGCACACTGATGCTTTCTATCTGAAAATCTGATTATATCGTCCTCTACCCATTTACATACAATTAGAGCTTTTTGTGTTTTTCCTCCATAGCATCTGTCACATTGCAAATTTGTTCTTATTTCTATGCAAATAGATATTTGATTATTCATTTTCTGCCCCAAACAACTATAAGCTCCATAAGCACTTGCCACTCACTGTATTCCAAGCAGTAAGTATGATGCCTGGTATAGAGCCATTTATCACAACGTGTTTAATGACCAATTGAAAAAAGTAATTAATAGATGGACAAAAAAGATCTAGGTTTCTATTTTTTGTAACAAGAAACATAGTCAGTGATCTCATGGGTTTTGATAATTCGCTAAGGGAAAATGTGCATAGTAGTAGAGATGCAGGTCCTCTGGAGGTATAAGATGAGAAGCCCAAGAAAGAGATTCAGTTAAAAAGCCAGAAGAAAGGTAGAATAACTATAAGATAACTATGTCATAGACACTAAGGTAGAAAATAAAACAGACTGATCTGCTATGTAAATATCTCAGAGTAGTCTGGAAAGAAATTGGAGATTATTGTCTCAAAATAATCCATTTTACCCCTTTAATTTCTAACTAGATTTTTCTTCAATTATCACATCTTGACCTCTAAGGTTTTCCTTAGTCTTTATCGTATACATGAAATGCTCTCAAGAGGTACATCTTCATTAAAGCATCCTCTATATTTCTACCATTCCTATTGCAAGCATAGCTATATTACTACATTTGTATCCTATTTCTGGATATTAAATTATGTCCTAGTCTCAGCCTCACTTAAATATTTAATTTCTATAACTTTTCCATTGATATTTCTGGGAAAATGCATTTGTAATATCATGTATATTCATTCAATGAGTTCAAGTCTCTGCATTTTTTACATCTTTGTTTGCATTACTGTTATGTGCCTCTAATGTGAGTTGCTGGCTATTCTGAACCAGACCAGTATAATGTGCTGGGGCAAGCACTTGTCATAAGCACACACTTTATAAATGCTTCACTGTGGTGGTAGTGTTAACTTCACAGCATGGGCAGTCAGAAAACTACATTATTTGCTCAGGAAATAATAAATCTGCATACAAATGAGAATGAAATAATAAAATTATTCATTTTAGCCTTTTAAGAATTTTTAAACCTGAAATACATGAGGCATGAGGTAGAAACATTTTCATACATGAATGGCTCACATTTAAAATAAAGCTAAATAGCTATATCACTAGGGAAAAAACATTCATTGTGCCTGTCATTTGAAGAACTGTATGACAATCAAAAATATTTAAAAGTGTTTTTGTACATAAATTGCAAATAAATTTGAATGTTTTGTATAATTAAGTGCTGGAAGATCATACTAACTTAAATATTAATATTATATTTCCTATAGTGTCCATCCAGAGCTGAATTTAATTATTCTACTTTTATTTTGTTTTACTTTCTATCTTCACTCTCTAAAATATAAACTCGCTAAGATCATGAACGCCACAGCACCCCCAGGCTCCCAATGCCTAGAGCCATTCCAAGCTTGTACAAGTGCACAAGAAATATGTTTTGAGTGACTGGAAAATGAATGAACGTAGAGCAGGAAAATATATATGTATATCATGTAAAAGCCTGTTTTAATTTAAGATATAATAGTGGCTTGAATCAAGGTAAATAATATTTAGGATGAATAAAGTAAATTTATTTGACTTATGCTTAAGAGGAGATGGTAGTTCATCCAACATGGGTGAGAGAAAGTAGAGTCTGTAAGTGATAGGCTTTTAATCTGAGTAAATGGGTGGTTAGTGCCCTAATTTGTCATCAAAGGAGATACAAACGGAAGAACAAGACAAAGAAGATGTGATTGAAAAGAAGCCTATTCTGATTCAAATCACAGACTCTGGGTCTTTAAAGCTGTCTGTGCTTGCTTGTCCTACTATGTAATAATCATGGACCATTTTTTTCAATTCTATGGAATTCGATTTCCACCTTTACTGTGGGTAGAATTTGTTCTTGACAAATTAAAAAAACAAACAAAAAAACAAACAAAAAACTCTATAGCCAAACACAATGGATGCTTTTCCAGTTCTTATCTTGTTTGACCACTGATAATCATTTGCTCCTTCTTGGACATCCTTAACCCATGTTCCTTTGAAACCTTTTTCTCCTGCCTTTCCTCAAACCTCTCTAGCTGCTCTACTAACAGTCAAATAAATTCCAGACTTTTCTGTTGTGATTAATAAGGTTGTCCAAAATCTAGTCTCTGCCCATATTTCCATCTCCACCCTTTTAAAATTTCTGTCAGACTACTTCCTACATGAAATTTTTCCTTATTTTAAATCAGGGTTAGTTCTATTCTATTAACTAAACATGGCATGATTTTTTTAATCTCTCTGAAGTACACTGATGGTTTTGTTTTCATGTGATATTTTCAGTGGACCTGATAGTGAGTAAAACTCCAACTTTTTTATTAAGAAAACATTGGTAGATCTCCTTATATACATATTTTTCTGTTCTTCTAAATTTTTCATCACATTACTTCTGAATAATTTTCTGTAAATCAGTCATCTACTACAGTTTTAGCATGAATATTTGCCTTTTCTATTAAATTTCATTTGGAACATGTTAAGACTTACAAAGACTGTTATCACAAATATCATATTAACAAAGTGTGAAAGTAAATCTTTATTCCCAATAATATTCACATACTCCATGTATTTGATATTAATATAGCACACATTTTAATAAACTACAAGTATATTCTCCTTGAATCTTCAAAATAATAATAATAACACATGTTATTCTATTACATGATTGCTATCACATCTTCCAATGTAGCACTAAAAGGCAGACTATGCTACTATATTCTAGGAGTAACATAAAATCAGGGGACAAAACTCAGGGTCAGTGGGTGATGCCACTTAAGAGAGTGTAAGAAGAGGTTGGGCTTAAGAAAAGCAGGAGGCTTTACCTAGAGGTGGCATAGAGTTAGAGGACCATTCTGCCATGCATAGGCATTTTCTCTGCAAAAATATGTTTAGAATCCTTTTTTTTTTTTTTTTTTTTTTNTTACCATTTGGCTACTTCTAGAGATGTAAATGAGAATTTTTAACATTCTAGATATATTCCTATAATAAATAATTAATAAAGAGGAACCATATTTTATATCCCATAAATTACTTTAAGAAAGATATTCAATATTAGATTTTTAATATTAATTGTGCCTTTAGTGTATACATTTTAAGCTGTTGGATGAAATGTACTTACACTCAGTTTTCCGTTGCGATTGTCTTCTTCTCTCATTGCCAGGGCCATCAGAAAGTTATCTTGTAAGTCTTTACCAGCACTTGTTAGAGTCCTGTAAAAAGCAGATCTTCAGTTATAATGTATTAGATAACAAATACATTTCAAACACTCAGGGGCCAATAATAATGATTTTTTATTCCAGTGACAATTTCCTTGCAAAATGAAAACCATATAAACACAATCATTATTATCTACTAGAGTCCTCAATTTAATTTCATATAGTAATAGAGTATTTATAAATAGTTGGAATCAAGTCTTTAAATAATATATCCATATCAAGACTCATGCCATATATAATTTCATTTACATGCCCATTTTGTTCTTTTTTAACATACCAAGAAAAGTCACCATGTTCGTACCACTCCTTCCCACAAAATTTTTTAACTGCCTATAATTTAAGTATAGTTTATTAATTTAAGGAAATTAAAATACTAGACACCTATGCTAATACAGTTACTGGAGTAGAGCATTAATTTTAGCCCTATGAGTAGAGATAATCAAGGCAAAAAAGGAAACTAGGTTGACTTATCTTTGTCAGATGAAAGAAAGCATCAAGAATTCAAGAGAGAAATAACGTTCTCTGGAAATATATTTTAAAAGAAATATATCACAAAGATCTCAATCAAGCACAACTGAACCACATAATAGTAAGTTTGAGTGATTTGTAAAAGAATAACCCTTTCTTTATACAGCAATTTCCTACATATTCCACAGACTTTTTCATTATGTGTCTGCTATGTACCAGGAAATGTATCTGGGCACAAGGATGCACAAGGCATAGTTCCTGCTCTCAAGTTGTGTATCGTCTCATAGAGGTAAACAGATATATAAACATAACGTCATACCATGTGATAACTGGAATAATAGAGATATAGACAGAGTAACAAAGGGGTTAATAAGAGAAGGTATCGTATTCAAGGCAAAGTCACTTAATCTGAAATGTAAAAGCAATTATTCTTGAATTTAATGTTAAAACTTGAGATAGTATTAGATAGTTTGAGGGGTGGAAGGAGAGAGTTATCAGTAACTACAAAGGAAAGAAGGAATACAGATTTAAAGTTGCAAGGCAATCGGGTAACAGCAAAGCAGTCAGAGAGTAAACACAGGAAGTGAGGGGGAAACCAGATAATATTATTAGAAGTTAGGATTTTAATCAACATACTGTTATAAATATTTACTAAGTTCAGATAGCAGAGTCTGGTTTAAGAATTCATTTTTACAATCCCTTTCAGGGCAGACTTGTATGCTACTTAAGGAGCTTGAACCTTGTCATACTACCAGAATGCATTAAACCAAAAGGGTCTAATGCAAGCAAATCAAATACAGTAGTCAAATCTGTGTTCCGGAAAGAGTGTTCAGAGCTATGAGAAAGGCAGCCTGAAGGAGAGCAACACTGCAGGGATTAATTAAGAGACTATCACAAACCTTTAGAAAGAGATGATGAATATCTGATTTAAAGAAGTGATGGTAAGGATAGGAAGGAAAGGATAGTTTAGGAAATATTTAAGAGATAAAATGGACCTACTGATTGCTTTTTGTGAAGAGTTAAGGAGAGATTACTACTAGGTTAAATCATTGCAACCTTTGTTTATGTTCCTGATCTAGAAATGCAGCTCTTTAAATTCATCATAATTTGTGTGCTTTTGCTTTCTAGCTTTATGTTCCTCAGCTTGTTTTATATACATACGTATATATATATAATATGTTTATATAATATAATATCTGTATTATATTATATATAATATATTATACACATTATATATAACATATATATCACTTAATAATCGAAAAACCTTAATAAACCTGTAAAATAATTACTAATTAGTACCAAAGAAGAGGTCAGATATTTGAGAATTTCTTTAATCCATTGTTCTGTCCACAGGTGAGTGTTCCATGTTAAAATATGTATTATGTACTGCTTTAATATTAAATTTAATATTAAATGTCTAAAACAGAAAATAATTTTGTCATTTGCTTGTTTAGAAAAAAACTACCTGTTTTCTACTGCTCACAGCATAAGCTTCTAATCATTTGTTCAGTTTCCACCTAATTTCCTGCTTATGGTCTGTTTTAAAACCACATTCTGTTGGAAATTCTCTGTGAAATTTGAATAGAGAATTCATTTTACAAGTACATCAATCAACAGTGGTCAGGTTACACTATAGTAACCAATGGTCCAAATCTCAGTGGTTTGCAATTGCAAGAGATTACCTTTCAATAAAAATATGCATCAATAGCAGGTTTACTGTGGCTCTTCATCTTGAGGGACTGAGACACTGATGAAACATCCTCTATCGGAACCATCTTCGGTTATTGTGCAGAGGGAAAAGAGAACATAGCCACACAATGTCTCTTAAAACTTCTGCTTAAAAGTAACACATATCACTTCTACTCATATTTCCTTGGCCAAAATGCTTTGGCCAACACTGAACTCAATGGGGTGAGAAAATACAATCCTGTCCAGGCATTTGTAGCAAATATTTGTGAATAGTAGCTCAGACACTCATGGCTTCCTATACCATAAAAAACAAAGGTTGAGACTAGATTGCTCAGTATATAAGAGCAGTAAATAATACAATTTTTGAACAAATTATGATAGTACAGAAAATTTGTTAACTTGGTTCATTGTAATGTAACCAAGTAAAGGCTCTTTTGAGAATTAAAATTACTAATCCTAGCTCCAAAACCAAACTTCCCCTAAATACCCACAGAGCATCCTATAAATTACAGTTGAAGGAAGAAACTATTAATAGAATTAGTGTTCTGTGATAGTTGTAGACATCTATTGCTTTTGCCTCCTAATATCCTTTCTCCCTTTTTATTGGCAGCACGGCCCTAACTTTTACTTGGGCAACTGTCTTTTCCACACTCTTTGCCTTAGTAGAATCAAAGTACCCACTTACAACACTTACCTCCCAAACCTCGGCTGGTGAATACACCTCAAGCTTTGCCAATGTCATTTCACCTCATGGGTAAATCTTTAACAGAGACAAAAGAATGAAGGGCAACTGGAGTTACAGTGGTACCCTTACTTCCTACTACATAGTTTATTCAATTTTATCTTTGAATCTACGATAATCAGTGCTCTTCCAATAAATTCCCTTTTTGATTTCATTCATTAGACTTGGTTTCTATTGCTTACAATAAAAACCTATAGTTGATACAATGGCTATACAGTTAGGAAACACCAGAATTCCTATGAGTTTCCACAAACTATATCTACTTCCTTCTCCTGCTACCTTCCCCACCATACCTTGTTTTGTTGTAAATTTTTAGAACTTCACAGATAAAGTTCAATTTGATCATCAACCCTCATTACATAACACAAAAGGTAACAATCATTAGAAGCTTTGCCTGTAGCCTTTAAGGCTTTTTAAAATTATATATAGATACATATTGGTGTCCTAATAAAAACATATATAGTATTATGTGGTCAATTGTTCATTTCATTACATATTTTGCAACTTACTGTTTTATTGCTGTTGTTACAACTATTGCTGGAAGCTGATGTTTATGAAAGTTCCAAGAAAATAAAAATTATCCCTGATATATCAGATATGAAATGCCAGAAGAATAGATTTTTAGGCATCATTCACTAATAAGGATGGAACTCCTAATATTTTGCTAAGCCTGATTCTCTTGCTAATGGCCGAGGTTTTCAGCAGATGTCTAGGGTGGGCAGGAAAATAAAGTAATAGGCAATAGAATTCTTGCTGTCCCTGGACACTTGCCAGGGAAGACACTCTTCCCCCTTGTTCCATAAAAATGAAAGCCTCCATTTTCACTTGGGCATATAGCAGCTTGGAATAGAGACCACATTTCTTAGCCTCTTTGCAGCTAGTTATGTTCGTGTCACTAACTTTTGCACATTAAGAGCCAAGTGAAAATGATTTGCGACTTCTAGGGAGTGTACTTAAAGTAGAGACGGGTACTTTTTTTCTGGTAGCTAGAATGCACTATAATAACTGACACTCCAACTGCCATCTTGGACATAAACTGGAGGCCACTATTATGGAGAAACAAAGAGGGTCCACGATACTTTAGAATACCAACACAGCCTTGAGTGACACCAGCTGGACTTCTTGAATATGAGACTGAAAAGAATTTCTATTTGATTTCAGCTACTGTCATTTTGGAGTTTTCTTTTCTTTTCTTTTCTTTTTTAACCAACCTAATTCAAAAAGATACTTGATCATTTGAAATTTGTTCACTTTTCTGAAAAAGATGCACTTGTGGGATTTGTTTGGTTATCAAATTGGAATTTAACCTTAGGTGAAATATTCTAAGAATTTCCCAGGAGACCATATTATTTACCTAATTAAAATGAATTTTCAAAAACAGTCTTAGGTTAAGTCTAATAATTAATAGCACCAGGTAATGAAAATTAAACTAAAATGTGAAATGGAATATCAGTCTTTAATTCCCACTCATTTACCAACGGATTAGTCCAAACAACCACATTTTTCTGAATCTGGATTTCATGATGGGCTAAATAATATCTAGGCCCAATAGCAGATGTAAAGCTTGTGGTCTAAAGCAATCCTGCTGCATTATTTATCACCAAACATCATTAAAATATAGTTAGTCCAAGAAAAAGACTATTATCCTGACAAGATCCTAAGTTCATACTGTTCTTCTTTCATTACTATGCAAGTCTCACATACATAGATTTATATCATTTCTTATAAACTCAGTGAGGAAGATAGAAGTACTATATAAATTTGGAACAGAGAGGGTAAAGATTTTTGGCTCCAAAGCTATGTGAAACAGAGAAAAAATGTTACATAGTAATCACTCTTTATCATGCTACAGCTGAGAACCCGAAACTTCTCAGCAAAAGGAAATATTGGAAAAGAATGAAAGTTAATGCAGTGTGAGGTAAGGAATTCTTAAATCTTTAACATGCATTACTCTTATTTAACTAGGTTTATTTAACAGTAAGTGACCTGAGAAAGCTTGCTTAAGTAAATATTACAAAAGCAGTTACTTCCTCAAGAAATGAAGTAGTCTGTTTCAAAATCTTAGTGTTCTAAGTTCTACAAAGGCAAATAC